CGGGCGGCCCCGGGCGGGCGTCCCCGCAGCGCCTCTCCCGCTGCCTGGAGCGCGTCTTGCGCGGCGGCTTAGGGCTGATCTGCCTGCCCAGGGAAGCGGCGTGGCTATTTATGGAGGTGGCTTAAAGAAGAGCAGAGCTCGCGGACCGTGGTAGAAGTTTTCTTGAGAAGCAGCCAGAGGTCAAGTTTCCTGTGCTAGGAGCAACTTAATAGGATGCAAGACTGCAATGTAGCTTGCAAGTATCTGGCAGTAGCGGGGAAAGTAGGTCATTGTGCATTTTTCATTAATCACTCGGTTCAGATAATAAATTGTTTTAACATATTTATAAACAGCATAGGGGCTAGATAGACTCAGCTTGAAGGCCTATTACTGCTTCAACTGAAGCCAGTGGGAGTCTTGCCAAGGGGGTTCACTGCAGGAAGATGAGGGTCATGCCCCCAATATTGCTTGGTAGATGATATTATGAATAAGGAAATATATAGTTGCAGCATCCTCTGGGATATGAGTCTTCATTAGAAATTAAGTGACAATATAGGCGATGTGATTGTTTTGCACATTTCCCTGGGGTGTGCTTTTAAGGAATCCTAAAAATCCTTGACAATGCCTTGCTCGAAGCCAGTGCTTTCAGTAGCCGCTGTTGTTCAGAGGCAGCAGCTCTCAGGAGTTCTACAAGGAGTTGTACTCAAATAGACTCTACCAGCATGCCCGTGAAACTGCCTATTCTTGGAAAAGCTTATATGCAAGGATTTAATGCTGACAGACTTAAGCAGTGATGTCTCAACTGTGAAAAATCTGTTGTTTAACCAACTTTATGAAGTGCATCTCGTTAGAGGAGGAAGATTCTCTTTTGTTTTAGAAGATCATGAAGGATTTAAGCATTTATGCAATTTGGTATGCATACGGTTTGATAGTCTGTTTTATAGGAAGTTGACTCAAATCAGAAGAATCACTCTCCCAAACTGCAGCAGAAGAGGGCAATGCAACATGTGCAGATCAAACACCCTTAAAATGGGTTTATATAGTGGTGAACTGGGCAAGGGCTCTTAAAATGACAGCTATATTCTGAACATTCTTGAAATTACTGGTAAGCTGATAAATTATGATTCAGTGCCATCTGATGTTAAATTTATTGCTGTAAAACATAAGCAATCTCTGGCTGAAGCAATACAGGAATTTTTTAAATTTTTGGGTGCTGAAAGTGTTCTAAGAATGGGCTGTTAGCAACTGCAGAGATCATTTTACCATCAGGTGTCCCCAGATGTATGCACACTTCCTTATTTCTAGTGTTGTCAATATTTTAATACATGTATTATTTCTTTTCATTCATAAAACCAATTGGCTACTTTATGTCTGTAAGGAAAAGAAGGAATAGTACCACTTTTATCACCAGCTGGGACAATTTTAGCAATAGCAATCAGTTTAATTTCCCAGCTTGACTCAAAACACTGCTATTTACTCTCCTGTTGTGTGGCGATATCCTCCCCTGTTTACATGCCCAAGTTTAAAATTTAACTACATCCACCATGCTGCTTTTCTGCCTAATAAATGCCAGACAGAAGGCTGGAAAAGTAAGCAAGGAGAAAACACAGTGCTGTCAGTCCTGTGTTAAACTTCAGAAGCGTGGCTAAGTGGGATTACATGTATTATTAGGGTCTTGATCCTGCAGTCCTTACTAAGTAATAACTTAAATGGGAGCTTTGCCAAAGGCTGGGAGGGGAGAGAAGACTGCAACAGTTGGCACTGAATGAGCAAGGTGTCAATGGCCTGTTAAGAGTGTAATTTTTTCTCCCAAATATTTAGAGAATATCTGTATGAGTTTGTCTCAGTGTCTGTAGCTGAGAACTACAAGGTTCTCTAATAATTTCTGGGAGAACAAGGTTTGAGATGTCCCACAGTGGAATATTTTAGGGATACAGGTTAATTACTGCCTAAGTCACTAGAAATGAAGTGTAGTCGACTTTGATGTGACAAAGATCTGGACTGATGCAGCAACCTCCTGGGTAAACCAAGCGAAGGAAGAGACACGGGACAAAACCCACCGCCCTCCTTTCCCAAGCTACAAATACTTAAACAGATGATATTTTACATAGCTCTTCCAGGTGAGATAACAAAAGAACAAAGTCTACTATATAAGTGAAAGAGGATTTATAAAATTACAAGTTTAATAGATAAATATAATAAATACTTTATGCATCATAACTCTGGACAACTACATGTAAAGCAAGTATGTTGGCAAGTCACAAAAAAGTTGCACCTTGGCAACTTCATTTTTCATAAAACCACACTGACAGGCATATTACAATGTTACGTATGAGGCTTTATGCTGTAAGTATGTTTAAATCCTGCTCACCTACCGAGTTCACCATGACATACATATGGGTGCAGTGTACTTTCTATTTTGGAATGTCTTTTTGAACACCAACACAGTTGTACAGATAGATGTTCTACTTACCAGGAACAGTGGGGACAGTTTTGAAGAAAAATACTGGTAAATGACTTCTAGAAAAACTAAAGCATTTCTTAACTTTTTATTGACATTGGCAAATTAAAATAGAATAAATTAACAATATTTTCTCAAAAAAATGTTTTGTACAAAAATACTGTCAAAATTTCCTGAAAAGCTTTCAACACAGTAGTATCTTTTCATGTACGGAATAAACTATATTAGCACAGTGTCAAAATGCTGAAGACAGAAAAAAAATAATTAAAAAAAAAAACTCTGTGAAATGTTTGCCACTAGTCAACATTCCATCCACACCATATTATTGTCTGTACATATGGGGGAGGGGGAATGGAAAGCAGACTTTAAGTAACAGAATTACTTTTCCTGATCCGGAAAGGTTTGGCCCACATCTGTTAAGCTTCCAGTTTAGCATATTCAAAAAAAATATATATTTATTAGTCTGCACTGCAATGCATAGTTAAAAATTAAGCAAGATGGCAGCATTTGTGCAGTAGTATCTGCCCTTCAAAGTTCATGCAACCAACTAATGCAATTTTTTTCCCCTGTTCACTCAAAATTTGAATGCAGTTCAAGTCATTGGAAATCATCGTTTACAAAATCCACAAGATTAAGCGATTTGCCAAGATTAATATCTAACAGTTCAGCACTGTGGAAATTATGGGCATGTTACTGCGAGGAAATTAAGAGAGAGAGAAGGGGAGGGGGAGGACAACATAAAAAGGCAGAGTTTGCTAGAAATTATTCCTCTGGGAGGGCAAGAAGGGGAGGTGAATGTCAAAGATACAAAAAAAAAAAAAAAAAAAAAAAAAAAAAAGTGGCAGCAATTAAACCCAAAAATTTATACAAGCGGCGCATAGTTTACTCTGCTTTCCAGATTCTCACCTTTCCGAGCCCCGGAAGGTGAGACACTGTGTCTGCGGGAATGCCTCCATTCACACCGAGGGAAAGTCCTTTGTTTGCTTCCAGGGAATCAGCAGCTCACCCTGCTGGGCTGCTGTTTGCAAACGAAGTCTGTCATGAAGTCAAACTCGTTCTGTCCCAACCACAGCTCGGGCAGCTCCTTGATGCGGTCCAGGCCCATTTCGATGACTAAGGACATGAGGACCTCCTCGTCGATGAAGTCAGTGTCTATGACATTGGGGGGCAGCATCGCGGCGGGGCCGTGG